TAAGAATGGCAAAGAGTTTTGAATCCACATCATATGATGATAGGTTAAAGGAAGTGGGGATGTTTATCCTGGAGAAGAAATGATTAAGGGAGAAGGGGCATGATAGCTGGGTTCACACATTTGAAGGGCTGTCGTGGGAAAAAGGATTAGTCCTGTTTTGTTTGGCCCCAGTGGGCAGAACCATAAGCAAATAAGAGAGTTTAGATATGGCCCAGGAAAACTCCCTCCCTATTAGAGCCAACAGGACAATAAACTGTCATTAGAGGTGGTGAGTTCTCTGACCTTGGAGGTCTTCAGAGACTAGATGACCCCTTGTCAGGTAGGTTACAAAGAGAACTCTTTTTTTGTGGTTGTGTTGGCCTGAATGACTGAAGGGGTCCTGCACTGCTCTCTGATTCCAAAGTCTAGATTTGTCTCTTGGCAACTTTGACAGACTGCTCTTCCTTCTGGTCTCTAGTGCCAAACAGAGCATGCTTAATCACTCTTCCACATGAGAGCATCTCAGATCCTATTGCATGATGTCTCAGAGGCAGTCCCTGGGCCTGCAGTCAGGGATACCTGAGTCCAAAATCAGCCTCAGACACTTATTAGCTGTGTGGCCCTGGGCAAGTCACTTAAACTCTGTCTGTTGCCTCAGTTTCCTCAACTACAAAAAAGAGATTACATGACACATAGTAGGCACTTAAGAAATGCTTGTTTCCTTCCTCCCCCACCGCTTTCCTTCCTTCCTTCCTTTTTTTCTCCAGGCAAAAATGTGTTCAGTTCCTTTGCTTGGCCTTGATATGGAATAATTTTCAGCATTTTTTGCCATTCTAATCACCATCTTCTGGGTTTTTCTCAGTGTATTGCTTGCTGTCATCTTACTACCAACTGAATATTTCAAGGCGAACGAGCTGCTTTTCTTGCTTCCGTGACTCCCAAGGTCTCTACCTCATTCTCTCAGTGACCCTTTCTCTTTGGAACCTATATCACCCTCTGGTCATCCTGATCGCTGTCATTAATGACCTTCCAGGTCCTTCTGCCAACATTCTTAATGACTTTCTTTATACAGACATGCACTGAAGCTTTATAATCATTGTTTTCTGCTTTTATTAACTCCTAATCTTCTTTTCCAGTGACCCTGATGTCTCCTCTTCTCTGAAGTGTCCTAGCCTGGTCTTCCTCTTACAGATGAAAGTCTCCTACTTAGAAGATAGAGGACATCCAGCATGACTTTCCTCAGTTTCCCTCCTCTACTTCCTAAAACTTCTCAGCAGACTTCCCTACTTTCTCCAACTGACACCTATGAGTCACCTATGGGAAAACTAGTCTAGCTAGAGCAGCAAGACACCCTAAGGGAGAGACAGAAGGTAGCATGTGGCAGGGCAAGTCAACCCACCACCACGCTGATCACCCCTTCCTCTTAGACCGCAACTGAGACAGAACGAGGCCCCTGGACCTTACAGCCTTGGGAATAGCAGTGCTCCCAAGAGCACTAACTCTGCTTCCAGCCCATTGTTGAGAGAAGCAATCACTGTGGAGAAGAGATCCACTTTCCTTGATGCCACCTGCACCAACTACTGGCCAACTGCTGGTCAGCCGGCCAATAAGACTTATTAAGTGCCTACTGTATATCATTGTACAGGTAAGCCCAAGAGTCCTGGAAATGGCAGCACCCTCCAGGACTACCAGCACAACTTCCAATCCAGCATATACCACCATCTTCCTGGAAAGCAAAACCAGACATGTGACCTGGTGACTGCGTCTGCAGGTGCTAGATCCCCTGTCTCCTCAGATAGGAAATCTATCAAACACCCAGAAAACAACTTTCTTGCCACCAAAGTCCTTGGTTCAATACCCCAAATGCTTCAAAATTAGAAACATACAATTATCAGTAGAAATTACATTAAAGGATGCAGGTTACCTCATGCTTTGCCCCTGCACCCTAAGGATGGTGGAACTTTTCATCTGACTCATCGTTGAAACCTATATATGTGCTCTCTCCATGTAGAATGGGAGCTCCCTGAGAGCAGATTCTGGATTTTCTACTGGGCACAGTGCTTTGCAAATAGTAAGAGCTTAGTAAATGCTTTTTTAATGCATTCATTCACTCATTCTCCATGGAAGGTTACTCTCTTTTCTATCATTTGTAGCCCCAGCCCAGCATATAGTCAGCACTTAATAAATGTTTGTTGCCTTATCACCTTTACCTTGCCGTGGTTTCAGAGCAAAAAGTATCCTGATTTGCTCCTAAGGCTAATCATTTTCCCTTTACTGTGTTCCCATTCTCTCCTTCATCGTGATTCAGTAATCATCTCCTTTTTCTTATGATTCTTCAGTCTTTTCCTTTCTATTGGCTTCTTAAGTCTTTTGCCTTTTTTTTTGTATCCCCAGAGCTCAGCACAGTGCCTGGCACACAGTGGGGTGCTTAATAAATGTTTATTGGTTATCACCTGCTTACTCCCAGCCTCCCATACCCCAAATCCTTCATGACCCCATGCGCCCAATTTGATATTTTTGGAAAAAGCTACTCTTCTATCAGACTTAGTCAGCAGCTCTAATGCACTTGTCATGTGAGAGTTCGTAGGATGGTCACCTGTGCCACTGTCTTATGCATTTAATAAATGGCTATTTACATGAATGCAGGAGCTACCCCTTTTTTAAACTTTCTGTCTCCCTCAGGACATGAGATGGTGCCTTGCACACAGCTGGAGCTTTACTGATGCTCGTTGAAGAAGATGGATCTTGTGTGGATTTCGGTCTTATCCTCAAACCTGGACGCTTGGCAGGTCATTCAGTTGGACACTCTGAGGAGGAAGGCAAGGCCAGGAAATATAGATATGGCTGCCAGAACATTTGCCTGGTTTGACAATGAGGAGCCTGAGGTACAGACAGGTTAAGTGACTTACACCCATCACATGGCCCATCATGAAAAGGTCGTGGGTTGGATCTTCCAGGCTTTCAAGAAATGAAGTGATGTGCTGTAAAAGTCATTCAAATAATTGTTCCCTTTCACCCACTTGGTTCTACCTCCCATCACAAAATCTCAGACACAGCTAACTAAAAATGAGGATGGATTCAGGAATGAATTGCATTTGCTTTATTGAGAGAAAGCTTTGGAGTGGGCCCTCAGGATCACAGGCAACATTCAGGTCTACATTCTACAGTGAGTGGGTCCTTGGTCGACAAGAAGTCCGTTTGGCTCCAGAGAGTTCCTAGGGGGTAACAGCTGTTTTAGTAGTCTTCCATTTTTCCTTAAAAAGGAGAGAAATATGTGAATGTGGCTCTGCCCTTTCTTTGGGAATTTACTTAGCTACATCCCTGTTTCTCCAGCCATTCCACAGAAAACAGGGATTCCAGCAGCCAGAGACTGGGGATTCAGCTTTGATTCAGGATTTTGTTTTGGTATAAGCATGTTCAGGGACAGGAGGGAGGAAGGAGAATTTAGCACAATCCAAGTATCAATGATACAAATCCTTAGAAGTCACGATACTACTCCTATTCTGGAGGCACATTAGGCTGCTTATCAGACTGGGAGAAAAGGGGACCCATGGGGTAGCTAGGTGGTGCAGTGGATACAGCACTGGCCCTGGAGTCAGGAGGACCTGAATTCAAATCCGGTCTCAGAGCAGACACCACTTAACACTTGGTAGCTGTGTGACCCCAGACAAGTCACTTAACCCCAATTGCCAGGCCAAAAAAAAAGAAGAGAAAAAGAAAAGGGGACTCAAGCTCAGCCCTGGTCCAGGGAAGGGAATACAGCTCAGAATGTAATCTAAGGAAAGGAGCCAGTCTCAGGATCTTATCCCAGGAAAGGGATCGACTCTACACTCTGAGTGAGAGAAAGTGGCCAGGCTGGGTTTTCTAACCTACAGAAGAGAGCCTGGCTCAGCTTGGGAATCCAAGGAGAGGGACTGGGTTTAGATCTCTAGCCTGGCTGAGGAACAAGAAGACTGGTCTAGGAATCTAGGATTTCTAGTCTCTTATTTCTTAGGACTGGCACTGGGTTAAAAAATAACAGATAAGGGTGAGCAAAGTATGACAGCAGCATGAGCAAGAGATATTACCACAAACTCATTCAGGAATTTAATTTGCTCCTCACTTAGTTGTTGCACACATTCCTTCTTATCAATTATAGTCAGCATGAGGTCTCTCATAAAACCAATGCGCTCTAAGGTGAACTTTTTAAACATATCCAGGGAAATAGCTGAAACACACAAAGAGAAAACATGACAGTTACAGGCATCGCTTTTGGTTGTTACATGGTCTCTTGTTTTTGGCTTTCAAGCATTCCCCATCCTTCATACGATTCCTGACTGAAGACACTCTAGCACAGAGAGCAAAGGCTGAAGGAACTCGAGATAACGTGGCAGCTCTTTTACTTGTGGGTCCTCCTGGAGAGGCAGGGGAATGGACTACATGACCTCTCGTGGGTTCTTCATATCTCATACGAAGATGTATCTTATACAAAGAGTTCGATGTAGTAGAGTGATCTATAGCATGACATACCCTGAGACCTAAACTGAACGACCTGGTAGTTTTCCTTCTTCCAGCGGAAGGTGAGTGGGAAGTGCAACCCTCCCCAGGAGGAATCAGGCAGGGCAAAGTTACTCACCATCACAGTAGTAAATCACCGAGCTAGCCAACAGAAGGACAGCAAGTAAAAGTCTCATGGTAGGAACGTTAGGTTCTAAGGTACTGGGCTTCAGGAAGCTGGGAGTGCTTTGGGACTTCCAGAGGCTACAGGGATATTTGTGCCCTGCTATCCAGTCCCTCCCCAAGAGTGAGTCAGGTGATGTTATGATAAGGCCTTGCACCCCCACCCCTTCCACCTGCCCCAAACCAGACCCTTGACATCTCCCAATGAAATAATACCTGAGACTCTCAGCTCCCTCAGGGCTTTCAGGCTAGATTGGAACCTCTCCATCTCTTCTTCATGGGACTTCCTTATTTGAGTGTGTCTTCTCTGGACATGAGACCCAGGCTGAAGTCAGCTCAAATCCAAGTTACTTCCTATGTTATGAGTTCTGCAAATTTCTCGGGCTTGGAGGTTTGAGGACATGGGGGTTTGAGGGATCTGCCCACATGCTCCTTCAAGGTCTTTGGCCCCTGAAACAGAAGAGGCTGCACTACAGCAAACTAGAAGTCCCAGTTTATCCTATAACTCCATTTACTAACTGTTCTACTACTTAACAGCATACATTTGCAAAATGTTGTTAAAGACGTCTGAATCACCATCCAACGGGTACTGAAGCTTAAACTCAGTTCCAGAAAAATACTCTTACCTTTGTATCAGATCACCACTAATTTGTCCCCAACTGCATACATTGGTGGCTTTCTGGATGTCTCTGTTATCTAATGGGAGTCACAGAAGTACCTCACAGGATCCTGACTCAGGTAGCTTTCTCTGTTGGGTACATAGGAACAACAAACATAGTTCTGGCTTCCACAATATTCATAGCATCATAGATTTAAGAATTGGAAGAGACCTAGAGAGCATCTAATCCAGTCCTCTAGATCTAACATAAGGAATTGGAAGCTCAGGGAATCTCAGTGATTGGTAAGCTTGTATAGATATGTATGCCAGAGCTGAGATTCGAACCTATGCCCGTGACTCAAGAGCCAATAATCTTTCCATTATATTGCACTCTTATTATCTCGCCTGCTTTGTAGCTTTAGAACCCAAGAAACAAAAGAATGAAGTTATTCAGCTATGCCCCATGGTCCAGTAGTGTAAAGGCAGACAGTGGATCTACCAGCCCCTGAGTTCACAGTGTGAACTTTCATGGTTCTCTATGGTTTATCAAATTTCACCAAGAAGTATTCAAGTTTGAAGAAAACATGGCAAAAAAAAAAATCTAACCCAGTTCACGATCCACATTCTTCCATTTGTACCTGGAAGGGAAAGACAGAAACATATTCCTTGTTCCCTGGCATTGAGGGACACATACTAGATTCAGAGGCAGGTTTTGAATCTATGCTGAAACATTCCTCACTGGAGACTTATAACATTGGCAACAAACTTCTCTGAACCTCAGTCATCCAATCTGTAAGAGAGAAACAATAACACTTGTACTGCCTCCTCTAGAGGGCTTTTGTGAGTGTGGAAAGTGCTTTGGAAATCTGCAAGCACCATAAAATGTGATTTGTTGTTGAATCACAATGATTCTGCTGCACCTTCTCTGGGCTGAAATGAATTTGTTCAGTAGCTTGCTTCATCTGCCTTTCTCTGGGAAAAGAAACTGGCTCCTCAGGCCATAGGGACTTATGAGCATTCTTACAACCTCACGTCACTCTCCTGGACTCCAAGGCCTGAGTTTGGGTTCTCAGATTCACCGAGCCTGCCTCCCTGCCCCAGCCTCTGTACTTGGAGCTTGTTAGCACTGTCCTCTCTTCTAGACAGTGACCAATTTGATGTCTATGACAAATCTCCCTCCAAACACCTAACGGTCAGAGTTCTACTCTGTTCAAACCAAGGAAGCTGAGATCATAGACTCTCAGAGTCATGTCTTTACATCTAGAAGGGACCTTAGAGATTATTGAACCCAATTCCCTTGTTTTACCAAAGAAGAAACTGAGGCCCAGAGAGGTTAAAGGACCCACACAAGTCACAGTAATGTTAAGTCACAGAATTGGGATTCAAACCCTCTTCCTCTGACTCCAACTCTCGGCTTCTTTCCATTATGCCAGTAGTTCTCAAACTTTTTGTCTTAGAATTCTGTACGCTCTTAAAAATTAGTGAGTACTGTCCTAAAGAGCTTTTGTTTATATGTGTTTTTTCTATTGACATTTACTGCTTTAGAAATTAAAGTGCCTTAGTATTATTATGACAGTAATCTTGACCTCAAGGACCCACTGAAAGGCTCTTGGGGACTTTTAGGGGTCTCCAGACTACACTTTGAGAATTGCAGCATTATGCCAATATGACCACATAATTTTCTAACCTGAATTCAGAAGTGTCAGATGTCTAGTAAATGGATGCAGGAAAAACCGCAGACTCTTATCCTTACTCCTAGGGGGAATGTACATCCCTGTTCCATATTTTCTACATCACCCTGCTTTGAATGGTCTATCGCCAGCTTGACTGAGTAGTTTACCTCTCCTCCCACCTCCCCCTGCTCTGCTTCCCACCTTTTTGGTGGCTGCACTCAGGCATATTGAAGCCTGATTTCACTGCTTTCCTTCTGGCTGCTTCAATCTCAAGTACTGGCTGTCTCAGAAGCTCTTCATTCACTTTTCCTAAACTCCAGTCCTATTCCTGTTGTGGACTTCACGTTTCATTTCCCAGTGAGATTGTTCATCTTTATTTCCTGGCTGTTTCACCTTTTTGTTCCTACTGGTTGTAATTTAGCAAAACTTTCCTTCTTTCTTTTCCTTCCTTCCTTCCTTCCTTCCTTCCTTCCTTCCTTCCTTCCTTCCTTCCTTCCTTCCTTCCTTCCTTCCCTACACAACACAAGATTGTGTTAAATCATTGAGGAAAGTGGGCAGCGTCACTTCTTACAGGAAATCTGTCCTGGCTACTCTGGTCCAAGTGCCCTGTCCCTGTTACTTACTCTAATTTATATATAATTTTTAATGTCATTGTTGTTTTCACACCAACATAACAACAGTTTCTTTTTTTAAATTTTTTTTTTTTGTTTTTAGGCAATTGGGGTTAAGTGACTTGCCCAGGGTCACACAGCTAGTAAGTGTCAAGTGTTTGGTCTGAGGCCAGATTTGAACTCAGGTCCTCCTGACTTCAGGACCAGTGCTCTATCCACTGAGCCACCTAGCTGCTCATAACAACAGTTTCTTAAGGACGGGGGCTGCTTCATCTTGTTTTTGAAACCCCAATGCCTAGCACATAGAAGACACTTAATAAATACTTATGGAACTGACTTGAACAGGGTAAGCAAACTTGACTCCAGATGAGAAGCAGCAATGATCAGAACCATGGACAGATCAGGGGGGCTAGTGGTAAGGTACTTTGGGACAAGGACCGTTTGCATTTTGGCTTTGTGGTCCCAATGCCTAGCACTTCAGAGGTACTTTATAAATGTTTGTTGAATCAATGAGTAAATACATCCAGAGAGCAGGCTTTAGCCCTTACACTGTCACTTAATAGCTCTGTGACTAATAGGCAAATGATTTCCTTTCTTGGACCCTTTTCCCCACCTCTGAGCCTTGACTCAGGATGCCTTCACTGGGATCTCCAAGCAATCCCATGAGTATAAACCTCATTTTTAAACAAAATATTCCCATAGAATACTGAAGGGTTGGTTCTATGTATATGAGACCATCAGACTGAGCTTTTAGGATTTTATTTTTGCATCTGGAGTTGAGCTCAAAATAAGTATGAGTGAAAGACTACCTTAAAAGTAATGGGGAAAAACCTTTAAAAGTCATGAAGAATGAAGGGCTATAAAACTGTGCATGTCCTTTGACCCAGCAATACCACTTCTAAGTCTGTATCTCAAAGAGATCTTACAAACAGGAAATGTACAAAAATATTTATAGCAGATCTTTTTGTGGTGGCAAAGAATTGGAAATTGAGGGGACACCCATCAATTGAGGAATGGCTGAACAAGTTGTAGTATATGAATGTAATGAAATACTATTGTGATATAAGAAATGATGAGCAGGTAGACTTCAGGAAAACCTGGAAAGACTTACACGAACTGATGCTGAGTGAAGTGAGCAGAACAAGGAGAACATTGTACATGGTAATGGCCTTATTGTGTGATGACTAACTTTGATAGACATCTCTCCTTAGTAGTGCAAGGATCTAAGACAACTCCAAAAGACTCATGATGGAAAATGCTATCCACATCCAAAAAAAGAACTATGGTGTCTGAACGCAGATTGAAGCATCTTATTTGCTTTCTCTCTCCTTTTTTTTTTGTTTCTTTTTTCTTGTGGTTTCTCCCATTGGTTCTAATTTTTCTATACAACATGACTAATGTAAAAAATAGGTTTAATATGAATGTATATGTTGAGCCTAGATCAATTTACATGTTGTCTTGGGGTTGGGGGAGGGAAGAGATGGAGAGAAAATTTGGAACTCAAAATCTTATGGAAGTGAATGTTGAAAACTAAAAATAAATAAATAAATATTTTTTAAAAAGCCATGCAGAAACCTCACATGCTTTTTCATTTGCTTTTTCATGCACTCCATTGTTTGTCCTAAAATGAATAGTTTACTTCTGCACAACATCAATGGATTTGGATAATAAGCACTTATGAGGTATTATCTGGAATACAGAAAAAGAAATCCCATGAAGAGAAGGTCTGCTTTTGGATAAGTCCCTGTTCTTCCCTACTTAGCAATTATCCTGGCCTTATCTGTGGCATAATTCCCAAATGAAAACATACAGGCAGAGAGGGGAGAGGCTAGGGGAGCAATGATGTTGTTTCATGCATACTTATGCCTGTTCCTCTGTGTGTGTGTGTGTGTGTGTGTGTGTGTGTGTAAGCACTTATTAAGCACCTACTATGTGCCAGGCACTGTGCTAAGCACTTCAAAAATATCATCTCATTTGAGACTTACAACGACCCTGAGAATTAGGTATCATTATTATCCCCATTTTATAGTTGAGGAACTGAAGCAAATAGAGGCGAAATGACTGGTCCAAGGTCACATAGGTAGTAAGGCTCTGAGGCCAGATTTGAATTCAGTTTTTTCTTGACTAGCCTCAGACACTTATTAGTTGTATGACCCTGCCTCAGTTTCCTTAAATATAAAATGGAGATAATAACTGCATGTGCCTCCCAGGGTTGTTATGAGGATCAAATGAGATGATATTTATAAAGTGCTTAGCTCATTGACTGGCACATAGTAGGTGCTATATAAATGCTAGTTATTCTCTTTTAGGTCTACTTGTGGCATCTCTGACCCTTTCCATAAGGATGTATTTACTATTTAGGATTTTTACACTTGAGAACACTGTTCTTCTTTTGTGAATGTTGGTGCTGTGTTTGTCCTTCATTCTTGAAGAGGACCATGACATCAGGGAGATGATGACGTGACTTGCAATTGACTTTGATTTGAGTGAGGGAGGGCTGTGCAAAATCACCAGCCTCAATTTCTCCTCCAGGGCCATCTGGGTCCAGTGGCCAGATATAGGTTAGGACAACTGGAGATGGTCCCCTTTCTGAATGTAAATGAATTAGCATTGCTGCTAGACAATTTATACATACACACACATTAGTAGTTGTCTGCTGGTAGATTTTAGAGCTGCAAGACACCCTAGTATATGAAATACTGGACCAAAAGTCCTGAATGGATATTAATCATTTATAGCAGACTTTGGAATCTGGATACTGGCTCAGGAAAGTCAACAACCCCCTCCCCCAATTGATTATATTGTTTAAAAATCCTACATGATAGATCTGGGAATGTTGAGACCAGATAACACCTCATTTGCCCACCAATTACTGCCCTGGAGCCTGTAGGAAGTGAGGAGGATTGGCTGACAAGTCACATATAAAAAGAGAAGAATGCAAAGTAATGATTGAAGACTTTACCTCCCCACCTCTCATGAATCAATCCAGTGAAGACTTGGAGAATTGCATTATTGTCTGGCTCCAGCCACCTGAACCCTCAGATGAATGTAAATAATGTTCCTTAATACATCTCACCTAGACACCTAGACGTGTGAGTTGGTTTGGGCTTGGGCGTTCTGTTCCTTTCCTAGTATGGATATTACTGTATCAAAGAATAATTCATTTAGAGAATCATTTCCCACCAGACGTAGCAATTAAAATGAGTAAGAGAACATGACCAATTCTTTTTATTTTAATCAGAAAGACATGAACTCAGCCACCCTGATGGCCTTCTATCTGACTTATGCATCCATGCCTTAAGCTTTGAGCTCTTTGTCAGACGATAAGCTGATAGCTTCATGTTTTCTATTCTAGTTTTCCCATTTCTTGGGGAAGTAGATGGAAAATATGACAGTCCCCCATTCCCAAGGAGAGCTCAGCTAGTGCAAGACCACTCACCTTCATAGTAGGAGATGGCCAAGGTGACCATCAGCAGAGCATCAAGTAAAAGTCTCATGGTGGGGATGGCTGACTTCTGAGGCTCTCTGGGCTTAAGGAGGCTGGGAATGGGACTTTGGGACTAGCAGAGTCCACAGGGATATCTGTGGCCCGCAAGGCTGCCCAGTCCCTCTCCAAAAGTCAATCAAGTGATGTCATGGCAAAGCCTGGCCCTCCACTTCTACCCCTGTCCCAAACACCTGTGGCATCTCTCAACGCAACTCCTCCCCAGGGCCTCCAGGCTGGATTGGAACCCTTCCGTGTTTCATGGCATCTCCTCACTGGCAGGGAGGGGATATCCTCAGGGCACGGATCCCTGGCTGAAGTCAGCTGGAGCCCCAGCTCTGTGAGATCTGACCCTTTCTCTCTCTTGCCAGTTTGTGGTGGTGGTGAGGAAGTGAGTGCCTTGCATGTCTTTTCAGAGTTTGGGAGCCTGGAGACAGAGCTAACCCTCCTGGGAAGTCCCAGGGCTATACCAAGAGCCATAGCTGCTGACTTCAGGTTCTAAGCACTTTACGAGGGACATTTACAAAGCCTGTCTGGGAGGAATCACCACCTGTTCCGGCTCCCCTAACCCTGACATCGTGTGACAGTTGGGTGACCATTCTGGCAACGTTCTGCCTGATCCTTCCATCCGCAGGGGCTATGGGAGGATCCTAGGCTAGGTGGGTTTCTTTTAGGGGCACAGAAAGATGGGGATCAAAAAGCATGGTCACAGCTGCCAGAAGACTCCCTCGAGAGATCAGGTGGCACGGTCGATAGAATGTAGGACTTGGATTCAGGGGAGACCCGGGTAACATCAGCTATGTGGCCAGGGACAAGTCACCGGACCTTACTGAGCCTCACTTTCCACATCTGTAAAATAGGGATAATGCTACCTTTAATGGCTACCTCATGGGATTTTTGTGTGATTCTAATGAGATAAGTGCTTTATAAAGCTTAAGGTAATGTATAAACACTAGCCAACATTGTTATTATTATTATTATTAGTCCCTTGTGCCATGGGTAGCATCTTCACACCTATTTTGTCAAAAGGAAGCCTGCAGGAACAGAGCTAAGGGACTTAATCCCATTGTACAACCCTTTAGGTAAAGAATCGTCAGTTCATAAGTTTACAGTGTGAACTTTTATACATCGCAGTGGTTTGAAAAATATCAACAAGAAAGATCAGAATCTGGGGGATAAAATCAATTAGCAAGCACTTACTTATTAAGCATATATAACATGCCAGGCCCTGTGCTAGCTGTACAAAGACACCAAGGAAACAGTGCCTGTCCTCAAGGTATTTCCATTCTGTCAGGCAATACAAACATATGCGTACATAGACATATACAAAAGAGATACAAGGTAATTTTGTAAAAGGCTCTAGCAGCCTACCAGGGTGTGGTGGGGAGGTGGGATGAGGAAAGGTCTTATGATAAAAATTCTGCTAGAGCTGAATCTTAGGACAACTAAGAAGTTTAAGAACACAATCTCTGGTTTCTGGTCTGTATTCTGCCTTTGGTGACTGAGAGGGAAAGGTAAAAAGGAGTTCCTGGTAGACTGGCCTAGTGGATAAAGCATTAGATTTGAGGGCAGAGAAATTGCTCTTGAATCCATCCTCTCACAGCTGCGTGATCAAGGACAATTAACTCAATAAGCATTGATTCAATATCTATTACTTGCCAGGCACCACACTAGGTTCTAGGAATATGAAGACAAAACCAAATCAGTCCCTGACCTCAGGGAGCTTGCATTCTATTTGGCAGAAACAGCAGATACACAAAAATTTGTTCACTTGTATCCAATTCTTCATGACCCTATTTGGGGTTTCTTGGCAAAGATACTAGCATGGTTTGCCATTTCTTTCCCCAGCTCATTTTATAGATGAGGAAACTGGGACAAATAGGGTATAAATGCTAAGTATAGTCTTCATTTTAATGCAAAATATTTAATGAGAGAGAGAGAGAGAGAGAGAGAGAGAGAGAGAGAGAGAGAGAGAGAGAGAGGAAAAACATTAACAGTGTGGGAGGAGCATCCTGTATGAGGTGGTATCTAAGCTCTGCTTTGAAGGAGTATGAGGATTCTCTGAGCCAGGAGAGAGGATTCAGAGCACAGAACACAACCTCTACAAAGGCACATAAAGTATAGGTTGTATCATTACCCTGAATACGGTACAAGAGCCAGGATGACCCTTTTACTGACATTTGTGAAGATCTAAGCACTTGCTGTATTCGATCTATATTCTGAAATTTCACAAGAGACATTCCTAAGTGGGAGAAATAAGCCAAAGAGATATTGTTTTGGAGAGCTGAACCCCAAGATTCACTGTGATCCATGGAAGCCCAGAGGAGAAATTTAGATGAAGATTTCTAGAAAAAATTAGGGAGAAAGAGAGTTGGTGGCAGGGAGAGCTAGCATTACTACACGAAGGAGTCAGGCTAGGGCTGAATGTGACTAGGTTGCAGCCAATAGTCTAGTTTGGTTGAAATGTTGAGCACTTAAAGGGGAATGATGTGAAATACGGCTGGAAAAGTAGATCACAGCGAATTTGTGGAGATTCCCAAATGCGCTGGAGACAAAAAGCAGCTGCTGAAGATTCTTTTTTTAGCAGGAGAGCGTTGTGGTTGGACCTATGCCTTAGAAAGATGATTTTCTGCAAGGCAGAGAGGTTTGTTTGCCTCTATGTCAAGCCTTAAGGTTTAAGAAATTCTCCAGCTTCTTTGCTGAGATGGGATCAGCTACTTGGCACATGATTTGCACTCAGGGGTCATCGGTTCGGGTTCGGGCGCCTCCCAATGATGCAGAAGAGATGCTGGGGGGTGGAGGAGGGGGGAAGATAATAGCAGCTGATGGGATTGACTTTGCCGTATGGCTTGGGGTGGGGGGGGGGAGGACCTGCAGGAAGCTGTTTGTAGGGACTCACCAACGCAGAGACAAACAGGGTGCGACCTTGTGATTTCTCTCCACACACTTGGAAATGGCCCAGACCTGTAGAGTTCAAGTTTATTACTGTTCTCGCTAGGTAATCAAGCTTCATTGAGCACACACAGAGACTCAACAGTTGAAATGTTAAGCACTTATAGAAACCTCTTTGTGTACAAATGATTCCCCACAATCCAGGAGTGTCCTAATTACAAATGATTCTAATCCATTTACTGAAGACTTACAAGGCTCCAAAATAAACAAGCTGACTCCCTCTTCTTTCCCCTGAGGTATTGGGGTATTTCCTTACAAATAGGCTGTAACTCCTCACTAGGTCAAGCTGTCCCTACATACAATGAGGGCACCAAGGGAAAGTCCAACTATGCAGGGTTATTCTAAGATGATCATTCATTTTCTAATGCCTCCATTCCTGTGGTGACTGATATCCCTTCATCTGGCTGATATACAAGGCTAGACCCCGGAAATGGGTAGGAATAGATGATGCATGTCTTAGTGTCTCTGCTCCCCACAATTCAACATTTATTAAGTACTTTATTAAATTAAACATTTTATTAATTTTAATTTAATTTTTAAAAATTTAAATTATTTAATTTAATTTTTAAACAATTAAACATGTATTAAGGGTGAGGCCCTGTGCTGGGCACAGGAGATTCAAAGGAGAAAAAAAAAACAGAACAAGTCCCTTAGAACTAGTGTTTAGAGTTTATTGATGGTTGCACTGCCCCCTTAGGGACTCTTATATTGGAAATGACACACACAGATACGATGCATGGCCAAGGAGAGGTGAAGGGCTTCTCCCCAGTGTTTCCTGCATTATAGAGCCCAGATTCATGTTGGGGGCATCCAGAGAAGAAATGAGATTTTCTTTGTATCTGGCTTATTATGCTCCCACCCAGGAGAAAGAATTCTAGGGGGAAATCTCTACAGCAAAGCTTAGGTATGGATCACGTGTAGACTCTCCCCTAAAACTGGTTAACAAAGTCTCTTCTAGAAAAGGTACTCAATGTAGAAAATATACCAGATATAGGATAGATATGTGTTCCCTTTTGAAATGCAGAAAGCTCATGAAGGATGGATCAAATACCTTAACTATAAAATAATATTGATCAATGCTGGTCACCCTGTGGCCACCAGCAAAATTATCTCCATGGGTTCTTCCCCTCAGGTTGTATCTTTGTTAAAGAAGCCTGGCCCCTAGTTCTCCTTTCATTTGGGGGCCATCAGAACATCACACGTTTGGCTAGCTGGTTGGTGTGAGAGAATTCCGTAACTCCAGTGGGAGGAATCTCAGGGAGCAGGCTAGACAGTTTGGCCAATTTCAGAAACACGGTGTATTTACACAGTCCAGCTCTGTCCAGCTTTTTAAAAAAATCAGCCTGACTTTTCTTCATAGTTCCCAGGGGGAATAGATTATGTCTCTCTTAGAATCAACCCAGGAAGAGGAAGGGTGATATAGTGTGCGACTCAGAGCCAGGAGATACCTAGGTTAGAATTTCACTTCTGACCCTTACAAGCGCTGTGACCCCAGACAAGTCTAGGGAGGGTTTTTGTCACATCTTGGCTACATGCTCCATGAAGACATCAGCCATTTCTGTCATTGTAATCAGGTTCATAGACAGCTGCTTTCACGACCCTCATCAGGGAATCACTCATCAACACATCTGGTCTCTTCATCCTATGACTGGTTCTACAAGGTCTCACACCCAACAGCACCGGGGAATGAGGTGCTTGTTTTAGAGGACAAGTAGCCCCTTCCTCTTTAGAGTGTGTCTCTCTCCCCTTTGGAAAGAGCCTCTGGGTTTTTGTTTTTAGCTCCCAGTGTTCAGGCTTCCTTCTCCCTTTCACTTTGTGTGATGTTCTTTCACCTTCAGCAGCCTTCCCATCGTAGAATGTCTTACACCCTTCTCTGACTGATGAGACCCAAGCCTGGACCACTATTTCATGAGGGCCCCCAGTTATATTAATTTCACTTTTGATTCTTCCTTCAGACTTCCTCACCAACAGCCTTGGCATTACAAGGCACTCTTTTCCCCTCTGCCCTCTCCTTTATAGGGTGTCTTCTCCCATTGGAATGCCCCTGGAGGGAGGACGTTGTTTGTTTGTATCTGTAACTCCAGCACTTAGCCCAGGGCCTAGCAGAGAGTTAGGACTTAATATAACCTTCTATCTATCTATCTATCTATCTATTTATCTATCTATCTATCTATCTATCTATCTATCTATCTATCTATCATCTATCCATCCATTCATCCATCTATCTATATCAACTATCTATGTATCTATCTATCTTTAATCTATCCATTCATCTATCTATCCATCCACATATCTATCTATCCATTGACCTGTCATTTTCTATCTATCTACAATCATTGGATACGAGTCAGGATTCTCCTCCTCCTTTTGCGACATTTTTCCTTTTTTAATATTTAACATCAGAGCACTTTTTCCATATTGTATCTTAAGCATGTATTGATCTCTTTTGTTTTTACATCATGGACATTTGCCAAGGTATCCCTTCTCCTCTCTTTTCCTTTCCCAGAGAGCCATCCTTTATAACAAAGAATAAGAAAGGAAAAAGAGCTCATGTTGAAAAGTCTGCCATATGCAGTGTTCACATCCATAGTCTCCCGCCTCTGTAAAGGACTGGGGCAGGTGCCTATCACTTCACTGAGGCCAAGCTTGGTCAGAACAGGGATGTGAAGGCAGGACCTAGAGCAGCTTGGAGACAGTGGGACTGCACTGCGCATTCGAATTTAAGCCTGAGCAAGGAGTGGACTGATGCAGCAGCTCCAGCAAAATCACCCAAACACAATGAGAGACAGTGGGCTGGAGTTCTCAGGCCTGGGCCTTCCCCTTCCCTCGGATTGCCTGTCATTCCTTCCTGCATTTACTCCTAAAAATTCAATCTTCTAAGTTTAATGAAAAAGGCTTGTCCAAGAGAGCAGAAAATTTCCCAGGTAGAGGTGGGGGCTTGAGAGCAGAGTCCAAGTGCCAGGAGCTGGAATGGGAGGAAGGAATAGTCTAAAAGTATGTGTGCTGAGCTCCCTCTCGTGGCCAGTTGTGATACTGAAAGCTGGAAGGTGCCTTATTCCAGAACGTCAGAGCAGTTAGGGACCCACGGACAGAGAATGCTGCCACTAGAAGAGACCTGAGGGGTCGTTTAGACCAACCTTCACTTTTACAGATGGGAAAACTGAGTCATAAAGAAATAGAGCCAGCGAGTGATAAAGCCCACACTTGAATGCAGGCTTTTCTTGTTCTAAATCTAGTGACCCTGTGTCCTAAGGCCAGATCCATGACTTCTGTCCTTAGAGGGACCAGGAACCAGGGAGGATTAGTTCCTCATCTGGGTATGCTGGACTTAGTGCCAGCACAGACCCACGGAGGCATCATCAGGAACAAACTCACATGTGTACTGACCATGAAGAACGGGAGACGTCCTGCGTGAATGGAGGAAAGCCAATGTCGTTGCCATTTTTTAAAGAAAGGGAAGCAGAAGTATCTGTAAACTCTAGGTCAGTCAGCTTAACTTGGGGTCCTGTGACAATTCTAGAAAAGACAATCAAAGAGCTTGTTTGGGAACATCTAATAAAGAAGCGGAAATATCCAAGAAACCATCATGGCACTCTCTGGAACACGTTGCACTAGATATACCTTATTAATTTTTTGTGGGGTCAAAAATCACTTAATAGCGGCCTCAGTTTTCTCATCTGTACAATAGGAGTAAAAATAATCCCTACCTTCTGAGTTGTTATGAGGACGGGATGAGATAATATTTGTAAAGTGTCTTGCACAAATTTTAAAGTAACACATAAATGTTTGGAGCTTTCATTAGACAGCAGGTTTTCTGAAAAGGATAGGATTTGTAGTGGTTTTCAAGTGATTGAGTGACGATGGATTACTAATCATCGTATTAAGATTTATGTGGCACTTAAAGGCTTGCCAAGCACTTCGCCTAGGTGATCCTCACGATAACGCTGCGAGGCAGAAGCTGTTATTATCCCTGCTTCACAGCTGAGGAAGGTGAGGTTCTGACAGGGTCACATAGCTCTCGATTGTCTGAGGCAGCATTTGAAATCAGGTCTTCATGAGTCCTGGTCTTGGGCGCTCTCCATTAGCGACCTCCAGGATTGCTCAGAAGCAGTCGCCAGATCACCCGACGTAAGCGTCCATAGTATCCCCTCTGACCCTAGCATTGTATTGGTAGGAAAACTGGGGCCCCAGGAAGATGAGTGACTTCCTCAAGGTCACACAGCTGGTGGAATCCAGTTCATCTTCCTCCAAACCCATTCTTCCTTTTGCTCCATCCTGTTCCTTTCTCTGCCACACGTCGACACCAGGGCTTAGAACCAGTGCTTGGCACATAGTAGGTGTTTATTAAATGCTAGTTGACCGACTGGCTGACACTCTGGCACACATAGTATATCTATACAGGCAAACATTTTAGAGGAAAAAAAAGTTAAAAAATGCTATCAAGTCAGGGTCCCATTGGCCCCAAAGAAAAGTAGATTTTCAAAGCAAAAGAGAAATGATGAGTGACTTTGAAAAGAACTGTTGGCATCTAGACAAGCAATAGGATGGGAATAAGTTGCAAAACACAGCTCTTCACTAACAATAAGAGGCTTAAATCCATCTCTCTCTGTCTGTTTCTTTGTCTGTCTCTGTGTCTCCTCTCCCTGTGTGTGTGTGTGTGTGTGTGTGTGTGTGTGTGTGTGTGTGTGTGTGTGTGTGTAAAAACCCCCATAAATCTTAGTGATCTGAGTCTGTCTTCCCTGCTTAGGCTTGGCTGGATTTGTATTCAAATTCTGTTGAAATCTCCCACATCTATAACCAAGCAGAACACAATTCTTGGTTCCTGGGTCTTGGAGGAAGAAAGTCTCTGCTTCTCAGGCCATGTGGCAAGAACTCTGGCCTCAGAATCACCAAGGCCAGGATCGAGTCCAGGCTGTGCCCCGTCTTAGCTGGGTGACCTTGGCCTAGATCTCTCTGGGTCTCAGTTT